AACATGGCTGATCTGCAGTCTAGCAACACTTGACTCTGTCTCTCATTCTCTATTTATAGAGCTGCAGCTAGAAGTACCACAGGACTGCGATTCTGAACAAAATCACAGCCGCTGCTAAAGCTCCTTTGACCGCTGAGCCTTGCGCTAAATTGATGTAGTACAAAATCTTCTTTTTAGAATGACAGAAATTAACTGTGCCCATTACCATGCTTGTGGATGGCGTATGCACTTACCCCATAGGACTGCATGCAGGAAAACAAAGTAGAAATAGGAAATCATTGCTCAATAAGTTACCCAAGCTTCCATTTCTTTAAGTGTTACATTTGAAATTTTCCAGTGAGGTTGCATGAGTTTGTTTTGTGTAGTAAAACATTGTTTTGGCAATTGGCAAATCTTTTATAACATACTTGTATCAAAAAGTTACACGAGCTGAAAATAGCAAAGATTAATATATTTACAGTTTGTCATGGTTATACTTACTATTTATGACACCGGTCCAGGTGAGCTGCTAGTTTATGGAATGGAGATGACTTGGAAATGTGGCAATTCCACCTGTAAATGGTAAAAGTATTATTAGTTATTTTCAAACAAAAGCGGCAGCATTCTCAATGCCAGACAAGATGCGTATTTAGACTGTCTCTGACCCAAGAAGCTTACAATTATTGATTAACAAAACTAAGAAAGGAAGGATTTTGTGGTTAGGCTTTGCTTTACTTTCTGGATCATAAAATCATAGAATCATTTAGGTTGGAAAAGACCTTTAAGATCATCAAGTCCAACCGTTACCTTAACCCTGCCATCCCACCACTAAACCATGTCCTTAAGCCCCTCATCTGCCTGGCTTTTAAATACCCCTAGGGATGGGAACTCGACCCCTTGCCTGACAACACTTTCGGTGAAGGTATTTTTCCTAATGTCTAACCTAAACCTGCCCTGGCACAGCTTCAGACCATTAAGATATTCTCTTTTCAGTTCAGGTCTGAAGCACTGAAGGGTTATTTGGGGAGACTACAGCTGTGAGCCTCAGTAAAGGTGAACACTGAGGAGACCCCTGAACCTGAAGGGAGACTTGTGTCTGGGAGGGTTACCAGACCATAATCTGTACTATTCCTGTCAATATAGAGGGGCTGAGAAGTGTAAGGTGCAGAGTTAGAAACAGAAAACCACCCCCAAGCAGTCATTAGGGAGAGCCAGGCTGTTTCCTCAGAGTTCAAGATTTTGCACTTGACTGGCAAGTTGCTTTGCTGCAGAACAGCTTTTTTTCACCTAGCTGTCCTTTTTTTATATGCATAGATAGATGACAGATGCTGTGGAAACACCATAGCTTGCTGAAATCTTCTGGTGTTTAAACCTGTATATTGGCTTCCCTGGTCCACAAAAGGCAAAAGATGCATTCATGTTAGTCTTCTAGTTTGGTTGAGGAGCATCTCCTTAACCTCCCCATTTACTGCTCTTTGGTTTACATTGCTGAGCAGTCTCAGAGCCCTTGAGCTGGACTGCTTTGACACAACGCTAAACCAGAGTATGTGCTCCAGGGGCACTCAGATACCAGGCTAGATTAAGCCCAAAGTAAAACTCCTAAAAGACCTACAACAAGGCCATTGGTCTTCAGTGCCAGGTTGGTTTTGGTTGTTTTTTGGTTTTTTTCTCTCTGTATTTCTGCGTCTCTTACGCACACTCTTACAGTTACTAACATAAGCAGAGATTCCTGCTTTTCTATCCAGACCTTCTTTCCAGCAGTGCACTATTTACTGGAAAACTTGTTTTTCCATTCAGAGGAAAGCTTAGCTATACTGAACAGTGCTTTTATGTGACCTAATCCTCCATTTTCTTCTCCTCTAACAAATTAAGCTTGTTTCCCTCCCTGCCTTTTTAAATAAAGGAGATTTTTCACTCACTGCAGTGTTGTTCAGAGAAGCAGCAGTGCAGTGGTAAGCAGCCTACCTTTATGAGGATTAAGTCTAGAAAGATGGTAACAAGCATTCAATCAATTGTTAATGGTAGCGATAATTTCTTAAGCGAACATTACCAAGATGAAATACGGACAAGGCACATGCTCCTATGCGAGTAGTGACGACAAGGCTCTGAAGGACTCAGCTTAACGTCTTGTGTCAGGTGATGAGGTTAATGGAAAAGAATTTGTTATTCAGGTCACTTAATGAAAATAACCTTGGAAGAGCTTAGCAGAGCCCTTAGGGTAGAATAATGTATTCCTCTTCTGCTTCCATCACTGTAAGTTAACCCAAGACAGAGAAGCAGCTGATCTAAACATGAACTCAACCTGTCAGAGTAGCGCAGGAGGAACATCTGCAATTACAACGCGTTGTAACCTCCACTGCCCCTCCAGTGATAGTAAGTAGAACGCAGCCTTCAGAGCAAAGGCTTGCTTTGCATAGCCCCATCTTTAAAACCAGACAGTTTGTTAAGATGCAGGTTATCTAAGCACTGTGCAAGACAGCAACAAAAATACTCACCACAAGACATGTAACTTTTAGCCAATGCATGGTCTTTGGATCAGCCAGGCATAGGAAAGAGAGGCCACAGCAGCCATCATTCACACTATTCCTGTTCTGTGCTTTGGTGGTTTGTTTTGCTGTTCAGCTATAACCAGAAATAAGCTTCAGCTCCTGTGATTTGAGGCCTTAGACCGATCTGCTCCCAGACCCCAGGGAGCCTGTATGTCTCTGCACCACCATTTCACTTCTTATTCCCTTAATTAAACGTGCTACACGCTGCCCAGGAAAGCATGCGTTCCACACAGCAGCTGCCTGAGACCTAATGAAGTAGTGCTCTGCTTTTGGGGCGAGTGTTTGTCATATGCACCAGAATAAGGGATGGGAGATCACTTGATAGCTCCAATTTGATCCCAAACCTTGGGACAACCATTTTGAGAGCCCTCGATCCAGATTTAGAAAACCTCAGGAGTAGACAGAAGCAAACAAGATTAGCACTATCCCCACCTGTAACATTACTACCTTGCCTGCAAGTGCCCATTTCATATTCTGAGCAACATGAATACCTCATCTGTGTAAAGCTGAAAATCCTTTTCACGGCCCTGGGTACAATAACTTCCATATAGAAAAACAAGATTAAACTTGACAGTAATAGGAGTGATAGAGGGGGAAAGCGTTCTTCCTTTGAGGCAGAGGCTGTGAATACAGCAGCCAGTGACTAACTGGAAAAGGAGGGGAATAAAGATAAATGCAGTTATTCAAGCATCAGGGCTTTGAAAAAAAATGCTTCTAAGAAAGAGGAAAAAAAAGAAAAACCCACACCTTTCACTTGACATTTAACAAACTATCTAAACGAGCTAAGCAAAGGAAAAGAAAGAAGTCAAAGACCTTACAAAGAGAGCTGCTTTCAGCTGTTTGTTACTAGGTATCTTAAAATACATTTATCCAACCTTGCTACGAGACACCAAGCCCTCTATGACCCAAGCAAATCCTCACTGCCATTCTCTCTTCTTCCCCATGAGCTGTATTTATAGGCTCCCTCCCAGCTGCCTCTGTAGGAACCAGCCTTGTTAGCAAAGATTCTTTACACCTGCGTGTCTGCAGGCTGCCAGAGATTTAACTCCTCATGTGCCCCATCCAGGGTAGCAGACTTGTATCATCCCCCAAAATAGCTCTAGCCACCCAGTGGGCCCTGCACCAGTAAATGACCCCGCATCTCAGCGTGCTGCCAACCTTCGGGAGAGTGTTGTGTGTTGTCAACAGGCGCTGTCCTGCTGGCTGCCGGTTTATGTAGAGGTTTATCAATCAGCTTCAGCCCAGGAGCCTTTAGCTCTTTAGTGCTATAGAGGCACTTAACTCTCAGGGAACCCAGATTCAGTGGTTAGAGGTCCGCTGTCTCACAACCAGACTCAGGTATATCCTACAGAAGGATTTCTAACTGGTTACTTCATGCTACTTTGTCACTGCTTTACTTTTGAATTTTTACAGACTGAGTAATGTTTCCTGTCATTAGGACTCTTTGACAATCGTTTCTCTGAAACGCTTTTGACATTTGCAAGGGGAAGCAGGCCTACTGTTCACCAAAACCAGCAATCACCCCTCGAGCAGCGGGATGCCAGCTGCCAGGGCAAGAGTGGTGGGCACACGAAGTACAGTATGCTTGAGTAATGATTAACACACAACAAAGAGAGCTGCCTGTGCTGCAAATGGAAACATACTGCGTGCTTGGGATGTAAGAGCATTTTGGTCTAATTTTGCACTCTGCATATAGTAATAAGACACAACAGGGTGTGCATTAAGCTCATCTTTTGAGAAGTGCAACAGTAGCTGAATAATGCACACCCTGGAGTGTCTTATTTGTAGTGGACTATGGCTCATTAATTTTACATTTAAATTTTTTCAAACCCATTAAAAAAAAAACAAATCTATTCTGAGGGCAGTTATGTAATGTATCCTTCCACTGAAAAGTATTTTCAAATAAAAACAGTAGGGAAAAGGTGAGGAAGAGCTTTGCTCAACTGCAGACCAGTGTTTGGTTTGGTTTGGTTTGGTTTGGTTTGTGTAGGGCCTGCTATGAGCAGGTTCTTGGCCTGCTAATGCAGATATATAATGCAAATAATGATAGTTGCGGAAATCGGTTCAGTGTTCACTCTTTGCTAGACTTCCCTTTCTTTTTGTGTAATTGTCTGGGCCTTTTGTCTTCCTCTTTTCCTACAAAAATCCGCCTTTTGGCGTATGAACCAACATCCATTTCAGAACAGGTTCACATATAAAGCATTCAGATGGGGATGTGATTGACTTCTACACCTAACTGAGAACTGAATGGTCACAGGTTCCTGCTCAGGAGGCAGACAGGCATGATTTGGGGAAAGATGGTTTTGCCAGAATAGCAGTGCATGTGCGTGCGTAGATCCAATAAAATTTAAAGAACAGAGGGTGTTATAAAAACCCGGTTTTGTTATGACATCACTTCAAAAGCCTGAAGTAGGGATATCTGATTTCTGCTGTTCCACATGAAATATGACTATGGTTTATCCCTTTATATAGGTTCCAACCTTGATGATGGACACCCAGTTTTCAGAATTCACTCCAGATATCACCCCAATAATGCTGGCGGCTCACACCAACAACTATGAAATCATCAAACTGCTTGTCCAAAGACGGGTAACAATTCCACGCCCACACCAGATCAGATGCAACTGTGTGGAATGTGTCTCCAGTTCGGAGGTGGACAGCCTGAGGCATTCCAGGTCAAGGCTGAACATCTACAAAGCCTTAGCCAGCCCTTCGTTGATTGCCTTATCAAGCGAGGACCCCATCTTGACGGCCTTCCGACTGGGCTGGGAGCTGAAGGAGCTCAGCAAAGTGGAAAATGAGTTCAAGGCTGAATATGAAGAGCTTTCACAGCAGTGCAAGCGTTTTGCTAAGGATCTTTTGGATCAAGCACGGAGTTCCCGAGAATTGGAGATCATTCTCAATCACAGAGATGATCAAAGCGAAGAGCTGGATCCCCAAAAATGTCATGATTTGGCAAAGCTAAAGGTAGCAATAAAGTATCACCAGAAAGAGGTAAGAGTCATTTAAATTAAAGGTGTGCAAATGCTTCATGTGTTGGGTAAAATGATTCCCTTCTCTAGTCTCCATGGGTTTGTTCAGGGTTGCTAGCTGAGAGCCAGCAGGGGTGAGTTTGGATTGAGTGGAGAGCCATGTGCATATGGGTAAATCACAAACCAGGAGGTTCAGTGCACCTCGGTGACAGCATGAATCTGATGACAGTTGAGGGCAACAGGACTGGGACTTGCTGCAGTGGGTTATGGCTTCTACAGCACCGCCACTTTCCGTTTCAAAGATACTTGAATCCCTTTTCATTGCAACCCATCCCCCTGCAAAGAACGGCCTTCAGAGATTTCCAGGTTTATTAACTCCGAAAGCTTTTCCTAGTAGCTGCTTTTATACAAGAACCAAAAGCTAGAAGAGTTGCCTAGCTCATGAAGATCTTGACTGCAGGAAATAATATAATATACAGTTCACTTCCTCCAGCCACCAAACAATTCCTAGCACCCATTCAACACTAACTCATAAGGGCCAGAGAAACAACAGCAGCAAAAGAGAGCAGGAAAGACCAAGAGCACTCTCACTGTCCCAGGTCTCCATGTTAACCAGCATTTTTGCTAGGTGAAAATGTTCATGTGATGCTAGGAATTGGATCACGTCATTCAAATCCTTCTTCACGCCTGAGACACCTCAGGTTGATTCTTGCTCCTTGATTTATCTGTGTTTTAGGAACTGAGAAGCAATTCCCAGAAATTCAAACTCCTGCCCAGAGTACCAGAAAGGAAAGGCATACTTCAGCACAAGGGCACAGAGCCTTTCAGAAGCCCTGCAAATCCAGAGATTCATAAGTTGATTCAATGAAGGCCACGAACCCAAGGAGAATGCTGACAACAGTTTCATTAGTTGGCTCTGGATTTTCTTTCTCTTTCCAAACCTGGACAGAATTTAGTAGATGATATATTACTGTTCGCCAGTGATGTTCCAGGTTATCTGAAGGAGGAATTTAGCTTGCTTGGTTGAAGAACTGAATTGCAATGTCTGTTGCATTCTTCTGTGTCTGGAGGGTGACAGGAGTGGTGGAAGAGCCTGCCACATTGCTCTTCACTGTCTTCCCCACATTTGAGTCTTTATTTTATGCACTGACCCAGATGAAGACAGCTTGATATGATACATTCCACCTCCCTCAACGGCTGCTCATGTCATCCGAGGTACAGCAGTCAAGAAGTGAAAGACGCAGATTTTCCTTTCTTCCCTTTGGTCTGTTACGCCTCCTGAGTGCCAGCCGCTTGATGCAAGGAGCTGGAGCCGAAGTCTTAAGCCTTCTGGGATCAAGCACGTGGTCCCTTACTGCTCTTATTGGGCTACTCCAGTGAAGTGTCAGCAAGGCTGACTGGCTTCAACTCAGGTTATGCTTTTTACTCTAGCTGGCAGGGTTAGGTAACACTGTAAGTGCTTTAGGGACACGAACAGGTAGTGAAGAATTAGTCTGGAGAAGGGTAACAAAGTCTATCAGGTCAAATGTTCCTTGAATCTAAGAAGGGCCAGAAACTCTATGTCTGGGTTGTTTTTTTTTTACTGGCCTGATAGCCACAGACGCTGCACCCGCATAAACCTTTCAGCAGCCAGGATACCACTGCCATGTGTAGATCACTGCTGATTTCGATGTCTTGTCACAGTTCAGGCTCGCTGTTGACATCCAAGCATAAATCTGTGGCTACCCTTACCTTGTGTTCACGTTAGGGAACTGCGAGTCTGAAGGAGCTCAGTGCATGTGAAATGTAGTGCTGAACGCTCCTGAAGCTCTTTTATTTTAAAGTAACAACTTTTTAATCTTTGCTTGCTTGCTTGACAGTTTTTATCTTTTTTTAGGCATATTTGACTGAATTCCAAGCATATGGACAAATTCCATGTTTTGTGGCGTATTCATGACAGTTCCAGCATATAATTGCTAGCAAATATGCTCTGTGTTGCCAGCTAAAGTCAGTGCTCTTTCCAGGTAGAATACTGGTGGGCAGGGACAGAACGAATGAGCTTGGGAAAACAGCACTACTGAGTTCTGTTATTCACAAATACCTGATGCATCCTGCAGGATGGTGTTTGTATGCAACAAAATATTGCAGTGGTTTTCTTATCATGAGAATTAGTCCAATAAGGAACACCGAGCAAGATACAAACGTCATTGCCAGCTTCTAAAAAAAATGAGTAGGAACATTTGTCAGGGAGACACTGAGAAATGCCTTTTAATCATGATTGAAGAGTATCAGACTGAGAGAAATTTTGTGGGGGACAAGAAGGAAAATAGAAACAAGTTTAGTGAAAGACAGTTCTGCAGAGGGAAACAGCAGACTTTTTAAAAGTAGATCTTGTTCTGCTGAAGCTTTTTATGTCTTAGCATTATAAGGGGGTTGGATTGGATTGGATGTAGAAGCTTTTTATGTTTTAATGTTGACAAAGTTGCAAGTCAAATCTCTAGTAGACCTTAGTTATTTTCTGGGGCTGTAAATTGTTACCGCAGTTGTTAGTTCTCTATATTCAGCATAAGGAAGGCATAAGCTCACATTGATTTTGGACTAATTGCTAGGCAAATTTCCTGCACCTTTTGTCTTTTTGAGTGAAAGATTTCCTGCACCTTTTTTCTTTTTGAGTGAATAAACCTTCAAAATTTCCCCCCAAATATGAAATTATTCCATTTCAGCTTAGTCAGGCAGGTAAGTTCAAGATTCTTTCTGGAGAAGTTGTTAAGAGGGAACTGGTAAAGACATCATTGCCTTTGGAGGGAGGGGCAGTACTGTGTGTTTTGTGTAGGGACTAGATCTTAAAGTTACTTTTTCTTTGTACCAGCATAAGTGATCTGGGAATTCAAGAGTACTCTGCACCAGACACATTATTCGGTGTTCTTCTCTCCGAGGCATTTCACATGAACCCACTGTGCCTTTTTTTTCCCCCATTGCGCTCCCATGCTGAAGAGTAGGTGCTGGTTTGTTCCAGGTACAGAAAAGTAACAGGATTCAAATTTCTAGTGCAGGTTGATGATCTCCGGCAGTGAACATACAGGACTGAAAAAAATCCTGATGGGAAAAGCTAGACATCTATGGGCAGTTCTTGCTCCAAACTGGGCCCTTGGAGGAAAGCTTTTTAAAGCTAGTTAGGCTGCTAAATACGCAGGTAAGTAGGCAATAAGTTTTTAAACAGAGTATAATCTGGTCAAGTCCCTAAATCCTGTTGGAGATTAGACACTCATCTTGCTGAGGCATTTTGAAATTCCCCTGTGGAATTAGCTGCATCTTTTGGCACCTAGCTACTGGAGGAAAATCTGATCTTGTACATTAAGTTTTAGCAAACAATTAGCAATCAGCCCCGCCACGGACACAAATCCTTGTTCCTTGCACTGAATTCAGTAAACATACTCATGGTATACACAACTTCATCTTTTGATCTGGTCTGAGTGCCTCGGTCTTCACAGTGAGCAACCTGAATGGGGCTGGATTAGCGAGGGGAACCACTTCAGGTCAGTCCTACCTCCAGAGAGCTACTGGCCTCACCACAGAGGCTCCACCTCAGCCTGTATCCCCAGGTAAATCCCACCTCATGACGTGGGCTTTGTCTTTGCAAGGGTACAAAAATCTCCCATTCTTTTTTTTCCCAACAAAATAAGCCTGAGAGGTGCAAGTTTTGATTTCTCCCAAACATCACACGTGCTGAGTACTTTACAAACTGACAAATGTATCGCTCATGAGGAAGATGACCTTTTTCCTTTGGAGGGGGGCCAAAACAATGGAGAAGAAATTTCTTGCTTTTCATATTTGTTTTTAGTAAGCCCATATATCCTAGAAGGTAAATTACTGTTTACACAGAGGGAAAAAAATCAGTTATACAGGAAAGATTAAAATGTACCCTAAGGTAGCTTTGTAGTATATTTTATGGTAGTAAGTGTTCAAACCATGCTGTGCAGTGCTCACAAGCTCCCTCTCCATCTCATCTTAAGCATAGAATGGTCGTGTCCTCAGTTTCAAATTACAAAAGGGCCCTGTTCATTTCTTTAGAAGATAGGAAGAATTTAATAGTTGTGATCGCTGTTTGCATGGCAGTCACAAAATATTAGATAAAAACAAGGACAGGTCTAGTACACTGTGAAACATGGTGAGTTAGATCCAGCACAGACACGTCAGTTTTCTCAGTCCACTTTCGAAAGAAATTATTTTCATAGGATCATGGGAATTCATGGTCTAAGAGACAAGTAGGCTTTTAAAAAATGCTCTGTAGTATATGGCATTTGTCGTCATATTACTACTTTTTAAATTCTTTTATTCATGACTAATTTTGGAAGGAGAAAGGTGCTGAAGACTTAATAAGAAAAAGCACAGCTCAGCTGTTGGGGATCAATCTTCACTGTGCTCTTCTGGTGCCAAATTAGCTCTGCATTTGTTAATTTGTTTGCATTTCTAAGAAAAGATGGGGAAAAGTCATCGCTTAGGGTCTTGCCAGTCACATAAAGCACAGTTGTTTGTATAGTGTACCATTGCTGTATTGGAAAATCAGAGCATAGGCTGAATGCAAATAGAATTTTTGTGTCCTTTAAGGTTTTTTTGCCTTGCCAAAATCATGTAAAGCAACCCTAGTGTAGCAGTGAATCAGGTCTGTAAGGGCAGGTTTCTCCTTGTGTATAACATCCTGCTAAGCCACAGGAATAGCAATGTACAGTCAGCCTATTCCTGCTTTCCTGCTCTCCATCACAGGTCATTCACACCTTCAAAATGAAGTGAAACATCACAGTAGTGAGTTTTTAGTGCTTTGCATTCTTCTGGTACTGATAGTTGCAGATGTGCAGGTTTAGTTTATATGTCTGTAAGAAACACACAATGCAAGGCACTCAGAAAAAAACGCATTTTACCTATGGTTATATTGCTTAGCACTACCACTGAATTAGATCAAAGGAGTGCATGAAATTCCCTCTCGGAAACCTTAACCTTAGTCTCTTTTACTCACTGTACTCTAAATCAATGACAGGAAAGGAG